TACCTAGATTCAAATCCATGTTATTTAACCTCTCTGGGCCTCTGATTCCTCATAGGTAAATGAAGATTATAAGAGTATTTACCTCATAGAGGAAGTTGTGAAGGTTAGAGCAATTTAAAACTTAACGCACTTACAACTGAACCTGGTATCTTGTAAGCATTCAATAAATGTTGGCTGCTGCTATAATTATTATTATTATTATATTATTATTATTATTATCTGTTAAAAGAAAGGCACCATTACTACCTATGGAATTCATAATAGTTTCACAACTGCAGTGCTTACTTTTCATCATAGAAAACCTAGACATGTGACAAGAGGTGACAAAATCTCAATGATCTCTGTACTGAAGACATTGATTTGTTTATCTCCCTTTCTAGATAGTAAGCTCAAGGATAGGAACCATGTCTTATTCAACTCTGTCCCCATTAACAAGTTCATGGTGGGTGTCCAAAATGTTCAAGTTAAGTAAATAAACATTTTGGTGTTCAAGCCACTCCTATTTACCATCATTTTCCTCCCTGATGTCACTCAAGCAGATTTTTATTTAAAGGCTACACAATATAAAGAAAAAAATTCTAAGAAAGTATTTGCATTACAACAGGACAGCAGAAATAGTAAGAGCCACAGACAAAGCTGCCTTCCCCAAGATGCATAAATATTCCTGTGGGAGAAGAGTCACTGTCAGAAATAAAAACAACCCTTTCACTCCACACCCCAGCCACACAGAACCATAAGCATGGCTGCCGCCATACACTGGTCTCATCATTCTCTTATTCCTATCTTTTATCCATCATTTTCTTTGTGACATCAGTAGACACTAGCTCACCAACATGCTATGTCCCTGCTCCATGAGTTCTCCCAAGGGGATTAACTATACAATTACAAACATAAAATGGAGGTGATCTCCTATTTGAGATGGAAAACTAAAGGTAGCACAAGTCTTCCCTTTATCGTCCCTAGAACAGTAATCTACTTCCTTTGAGGAAGTGAACGATTTACATTTTCAGGAACCTCCACTGTGAAAGACTGCCGAAAACGTGGTTAATCATCTCCACACAGCTTTCACTGATGGCTGCCCCTCAAATGTCCCCCTTCCACCTGCTTCTTCCAGGTTATCACAGGAGATCCCTATCGCCCCACTGCCAGATGGAGAGGACCAGGTAGAGGTGAAATGGACACACTGTCAAACTGGGCTGAAGCTCACAAAGGCCTTTTTTGAGCGTTACCTCACTGCTACGGGAACTCAACAAAGACTTTTCTTAGCTCCATTACGACATTCAAAACCTTGCCACCAGAATTACAGCTAATCCTCATTATCCAAGAGCAATTTGCATAGTAGGGAAAAAGGCCACAGAGTGACTTCTCTTAAACAGGGACCACATTTCATGATGATGAAAAAGAGATTTGATTAGAATTTTTCCCAAAAAAATGAAACAAAATATAAATTTATTTTTATAATGTATCTTATAGTTACCAAAATTTAGGTAACACAACTATGAACGAAGTCTTAGGACAAGAAACTAATCAATTGGTAGAGTTTGGGGCATAATTTTGTGATCAAACTGTAAAAGATATGACAGCTTTGACTTCACATTTGCCTTATCCAAGACAATTATAGAAAAGTCACTTTTGGAAAAAAAAATAAAGACAGATTTCATAATTTATTCCCCTGGAACTTCTCATACTCTTTTTAAAAATTTTAAAACACCTCTCAACTCATCATCCCTGCTGGTTTTCCTCATCAAAAGTTAATTGGTCTAACATTGCCAAATTCTCACTCGCACCTCTTTTTAAATTAAAGTATAACAGTAAAGTGCACAAATCTTAGGTGTGCAACTTGAATTCTTACATATACTTACACCCATGTAACCGTGACTCATCTCAAGGTATAGAACATTTCCAACATCCCAGAAGGTTCCCGCATGCCCCCTCCCAGTCATTACCAGCACCATCCCACAGAGGAACCACTATTCTGAGTTCCATCACCAGGGAACAGCTGTATCCATTTCATTTAACTGGAATCATATAGTGCTTATGTTTTTGAGCAGTTCTCAACCTTGCTCTGAATTCATGGAATCCTGCATCTTTGCAAGGTTTGCAATTTCACCTTGCAGTCGCTTTAGAATGCACTCATGATATGTTGTTGGATGCTAGACAACTCTAGTGTTATGAAGTGATGATCAGTTTTCCAAGAGAATTCATTTGTGATTACTTCCACAGTATAATGACTTCTGTACAAATATATTAAAAACTTAATGTAAAAAAGGGAAAATAACTCTAATATCCATTATTCTAGCACTTACCCCAAACATACCTTAGATAATTCTTCCCACTCCCTTTGTGTGACTTTCCTCCAATGGAACCACCTTTGCAATAGACCCTTATTGCTGACTTATCATATAATTAAGTTTTCTACAGTCTCAGAAATCAGAGGCCTAAAGGAAGTTTTAAGCCTCGTTTTGTTACATCTTATTTGACCCAACAACCTCAGAGGGTTTAAAGTTTTTCCAAAACCCAATAACAAAGAACTGCCTGCTCTATCCTTTTGTTTTAAATGAGTTAACAATATCTATTGTCTGCAATCCCCAACCATATAGTTACCAAGAACAAACAAGAAAATAAAAACTAAAAAATAAACACCAAGAAAACCTTACTCTTCTCTATACTCTCTTAGCAGGTGTTCCCTCCCAACCCCATTACTGCTCACACTCAGTCAGTCTTCCATTCTGCCTTCAAAGCATGCCTGGCGGGGCAGACTCTGAACTCTACCCTGCACAGCCAATGCCCTGGTACACTCCCTCACCATCTCTTGTCTAGTGTATAGAAACTGCCCTTAACTGATCTCTTCCTTACAGTGTCTTTCACCCTATCACTAAAGTCACCTCTCCAGAGCATAGGGTTGATCATGCTATTCATATGATTAAGAGCCTTCTCTAGGTCCCACTGCCCACAGGGTAAAGTCACTCTCTTAAGTGAGAATTCACAATCTGGCCCTAACCTTTCCTGGCTTCTCTCCCAGAAGCTCCTGCAAAACTCTGGTCTGACCTCTGGACATCCACGCTCTGTCACTAGCCCTGATACGACATTGCTTCCGCCTTTGGCTAGAAGCCATTTCTCCCATTATCCTGCAGTCAGCTCCCTTCCTTTCTCCACCAAGGAAACGCCAGCAGCTATTCCCTTGTATGTGTTTCCATAGCTCTCTATACCCATCACAACTATATCTGAGTCCTTATTACACTGCATTAGTTCATCACTTATTTGATTCATTCACTAGTCTACAAACTTCTGGACCTAAGGCTTCTCCCTGGACTCCTCAAGGATAAGGTCAGGATTTAATCTTTACATCCCAGGGACTTGGCAGGGCAATTCCATAAAAGCTCAATAAAAAAATGCATGTCCCAACCACTTTAATTTATTCATGTCATTTTTTTTGTATAGAGACTTAAAAAATTAGTATAAACATGTCACAGCAATGAACCTAAATTTTCTTTTAAAAGTCACCTAGCAAATTGTTACTTTAAAGAGTTTAATAAAAACTAAAATCTCCCTTATTGATTTGTGCTTCCTGTTAGAAATCAGTCACAACTGTTTTAAAATACCTTTTAAAATAAAAAATGGGCATCAATGGTAGAATTGAATACACCACCTAAGTAACTGTAGTCAACACCATATAAATCACTACGGGATGCCAATGGAATGCATCACAGTTATTTCTACAACTAAAAGATCACAAACAAAATTACTTCACTGAAAAAGTGTTTATATATCCCCTCAACACGTAACACATCTGGATACAGGAAGACGGTACGCATGGTGGTTAAGAACATGAGCTGGAATCACAATGCTAGTTGTGCAACTTGGGGCAAATAACTTAAAACTTCAATGTGCCTCAGTTTCCTCATCTGTAAAACAAAGATGATAAAAGTGCCCACTTCACAATGTTTCTGAGTGATGGAGTTAGCTCTCATAAGGCCCTTGGAACAGTGCCTGGAACAGTAAATGTGAAATGATGTCAACTGTTATCACTGTGTTTTTAAGTTCTCTGAGCCCTTTTACATACATATATTGTCTTCCCCGCCCGCCCCCCTGCCCCCCAAAGCAGTACAATGAGATTGTCTGGACAAAAATGCTATGCCCATTTCAGAGATACGGTAGTAACAGAGGGTTACATTATTTCCCTAAGATATTTTAAATGGCAGAGTTGGAACTGGAAACTATACTTAATCCCAGGCCAAGCTGACCAAATCTCCATGGATCCGGTTTGGAAGACTCTTCTGGGTTTTCCCCATTGTTTCTTCTTGGTTGTCAACAACAGCCAACCTGAAAACCTAGTGGGAACAGAAGAACTACCCCATTTGCTCAAGTTAAACTTTAGAGAAGCCTCACTTTCACAGTGCCTGACAAGTAGCAGGCACTCCAAAGACAACAGCTACTGATGACTAAAACACAAAGTGCCACTGTGCTTTCTCAGTAACAGAACAAGGCACTCCATGAAATCAAGCCTGCTACCAAAAAGAAAAGTCCCTTAATACTGTGCTTCTCTGTCACATCAAAGTACAACAGGGCCATAGAAACTTCTTTTTAAAAAAGGAAAAATTTGTTTACAAACAAATCATTTTCTTTGACTGTCTAAAATATGGTTTTGCAAAAAGAACTTTCATCAAGACAAGTTTTTTGAAAACTAAACCAACTAGCTATTTTTCCTGACACGCCTCTGTCCAAATAAGCCACTGACATCAATAGACAATATTTCATCTCCATGAGACCTTTACCAAATACTTATTTTCAATACTTCCCCTGGGCTTAAACTGAATCCCAATTCTGTCTTAATTACAGCCACATGCACATGGAATACAGTTAATGAGCTTCGAAGGCACATTCAATCCTCCTGGGGAGCCCACCTGAACCAGGTAAGTACAAGGAAGCAAAGCATCTCCAAGATTATAATGCCCCATCTTTACTTTTCTACTCTTCAAATGGGCAAGTAGAAGACACACCTTAAAGATCATGCTTGACAGCCTGAATAAGGCCTGCTTTTCCTTTGCTGGTCCTGTCCCTCTGGCCTCTACTGGAAGGTGTCTGGCGCCTGGAGAACACACACCTAAGGCAGCTAGCTCCAGCCCCTGCCCTCGACAGCTTACGTCGGAGACGAACACGTGGCGGCCACTCGGGACGTTCTGCACACCTGATTAAACAGCGGCAGAGCTCACACTGTGTTCAGGGCGGTGCACCACCCAGACCCGCCCAGGCCTGGAGCAGAAAGGTGTTCATGCTCCACTGTAAACAGCGACCCGACAAGACACCTGGCCCTCTACATCCCGCGCCCACCTCGCCGTCGCCGACCCAGCCCGCGCGCCCTCGCGGCCCCCGACGCCTCCGCCTGCCTCGGGGAGTCACTTCCCCGCGTACTCTTCTTACCTGAGCTGGCGACGCCGCCACCTGCGTCGGGGCCCCAATTCCCGGTCAAGTGATCGTTACCCAGGCCGCGGCTCGAGAGGCCTGCAGCTTAGACAGAAGAGCCCTTAGGGCCGCTCCCCTTCCACCAACTCGGGGATACCCCGGTGGCCGCCGCCATTTTCCCCGCGCCGTAAACCCCACCTGACAGCTCCAGTCTCCCACCTGTGACCAGCTGGAACGACGCGCGGCACCGTGCGGGTGCGCGTGCGCGAGCTGGGGAATCCGTGGGGGTCACAACCTCCGGGCTGAACCCGCCGCTAATTCATCCCGAAGCGGGGAGGCGTCCCGTCCGTCGCCCTAGTAATGCGTTCCGACAGACTTTATACTGATTGGCTGCGAGTGCAGTGACGCAACGGCGTCCCCGGCTGCGTGCGAATCCTGGGTCTCCGGCGCCCCGCCTCTGCTCGCCGGCGAGGGGCACCTGAGATGCCCGTTGTCGGGGGCTCCGTTAAAGGGGCCATGCTCATTTCCTCGCCTAGCCTCTGAGTGAGAAGGGACCTCGAGAGCGAGGTACATAGGGGCGAAAAACAATAGAAATAGGCAGTCTCACTGAGGGCTTTGTCCCAGAGAACTGATGGCCCCCAGTCCAACTCCTGGAGTTTCAGAGTGGAAAACAAATCTGGGGAGTTAAATTTACAAGCCTAATTTACTAGCGCAAAGGCACAGGTCAAAATCAGAAGGAGAACCAGTTCTAGATCGCAGATTCCTAATACGCAGCGCCAATCTCTCCCGAACACGCGCAGTATTTCCCCAGTCCTGGAACTGGAACAGTGTCTGTCCCTAACCCACAGGACTTTAAAGCTCCGTAACAGTGGGGACTGTGGTTAAACCTCTTTTCATTTCCTACACAATGCCTTCCTCCTGCAGACCTTAAACATTCACTGAATTAAAATCTTAAAAATAAAAAATCTTAAAAATAATAAAACATAGCCACACACATAGCCCTTCAGTCATTCACATATGTTTATGTATTTTATTCGTTTATTCAACAAGGCACAGAACGGGGTGAATTGTTTTTAAGTACAAGTTCCCTGTCCTCACAAAAATTTATGGTGTAATAATAATGAATATCTAGGTTAGGGATGCATAACTTCAATATAGCTAAATTATGCCCCCAGATTCTCTGTGAATCAAGTTCCCGTGCTCTACTCCTAAATCAGCTTCACAACCTCTCCAATTTCAATATTTAAGATGTGCTAAAATTGCATTAGAAAATGAAGATAAACTGTAACAGAGGGAACCAACAATACAAAAGCCAATTAGCTCTTCAACTTTAGGCCATATTTTTATCTTTAAAATTATACCGCAAGAATAAACGTTTTCTAAATTCCCCTGTCCCTCCCCCCTGCCCCCCCCCAACTCCTACAAGCTTTTAAGTGTGAGAGACCGGGAAAACCCTGAAGGCACTGGAGCTGGGTTTTGAAATCAGGGATTATGTAATAGTTTATCTCTGCATCTCTGTAACTCCCAGAACAGACCGTGCCAACTAAAAAAGAGAACTTTGTACATTCGAATATAGCGGGTGTCAAATAAAGGTTAACTGACTTGAATCAATCATCCTGGTTTCTTCTTTATTTCACCTTCTAGCCTTTGACCTTTCTTGGGAGTTAAGTGGTGAGACAGGAAGAAAAGGATTAAAGAGTCCAGAGTATTAGCTCTTTTTTACCCCAAATACTTCTGGCACTCATCATAGTGTGGGTTTCCACACCAAGCAATTCTCCAGTGCTCTACAAACACTAACTTGGTGCCCTACAATGTAATTCAATTCGGCCACTAACTAGTCTGATAATGCAAACCCCACAGGTTAAGGGCTCAGTCCCACAAGATTGCCCCCCACTTTGGACACCAATAGAAAATCCAGGCCTCCAGTAATTCTAAACCACCCTCTACAACTGGGATATTCTCATGATGCCCTGCTCAGATTCTAACTTGCTAGAACAACTCACTGAACTCAGGCAAGCACTCCACTTACCGTATTTCCCCATGTATAAGACTCAATCTTTTTCGAAAAATTTGGGGTCTAAAAAACTGGGTACGTCTTATACAGTGGTTGTAGATTTTTTTATTTGCATTTCCCGCTGAGGATGAGGCAATATATGAAGACAGTGATTCGTCATCAGACACAGATGAGGACAAGCTAATGGTTGGGAGTTTTGACAGTGATGAGGAGTTGTATGAATTTTATGATGAATAAAACTTGAGTTCAATAACTTTATGTAATACATTTTTTTTTCAAATTTTGGGCCCCAAAATTAAGGTGCGTCTTATACATGGGAGCATCTTATACATGGGGAAATACGGTACATTTACTGGTATTATAAAGGCTACAACTGAGGAACAGCCAAATGGAAGAAATGCAAAGAGCAAGATATGGGTGGATGGGAGGGGCCGGGGAGCTCCCAGGCCGCCTCCAAGTGTGCCACCCTCCCAGCATGCCAGGAGATGCTTTTCAAATGTTTATGATTCTCTCCCACAATTGGAATGGCCATGCTCCAGAACCCTACAGGGCTGAATTGTGACTCTTTGGGGACGTCCCAGAGGCTCCGTGTGGCCTCTCTTCCATCACAGATACCTCTAGGTTCAGGAGATGTGTCAGGTGGTATGACTCAGGTAGCAGGGCTCCTTATACTGCAGGTTGGAGATGCTGCTGAGTCCTTTCTTGATCTGAGCCCTACTTAAAACGAGCCACCGTCCACAGCAGCCGGAAAAGATCTCCGACGTGTTATGCTTCCTCCCTTCTTAGTGGTAGAAGACACAAGGTACAAAAAGTTGTCTTTTACTTTGGAGGAAATATCTCAACATGCCCTAGACCACTTCATCCAAATAAGGTCTGTGCTTTAGATGACAGTTGTATTATACCAAAGTTATTTCCTTTGTTCTGATATATGTTCTATGCTGATATAAGCTGTTAACATAAGGGCAAGCTGGGTAAAGGGTATACAGAAAATCTCAATCTTCTTTTTGCATCTCAGTTCTCTTTCTGCATCTTTACAAGTCTAAAGTTATGTAAAATTTTAAAAATAATAACTGTTCATTAAAGTTTGCATCAACATAACAAGACTTCCGAATTTATGTGGGCTTTATCCACCCTTTGGAATGTATGTGTTTCATCAAGGCATCCAGATTACTTGCATTTCTTGTTCGTCAGGTCCCACTAATATGATATTTCAATGTGATAGACCAATGTGATGTGCTGTGGAATGATCAGATGATCTGGGTCCCTTTGGAATACATTATGACGTAAAACAGGAAAATGAGCATAGCCCTGGAGAAAGACTGCAAAAGCGTAATGTTGTCTGTACTGTGAGAATGTTATTTTCCCTGGATGTGATATTGTTTTTGTTTATTATCTTGGTTGGGAGCAATGAAGGGCGGGGTAAGAGTAGGAGGCAGTTTCAGCGGCTTCACTTGGCTTTTCCTACCACAATAGCTCTTACTCTATGGATTAAGGACCAGTGTGGGGGTTCTGTCAACGGCTAAATATGTCTGTTCCAATTATAAATTTGGGAATCAGGCAAATGACCACCAGGTTGGTAAGAGGACCGAGTGGACCTACTATGAGACAAACCTAAGTGAAGACTTCATTTATTATGTGACTCCAAAATGCCTCTACTCTAACAAGGAACCCATGACGGTGCTTTGGGCCCCTGGGTATCATCATCAATTTAGACCCTATATCCAACACCCCTCAAAAATCCAGGGTATTCCTCTTTCCCCAGCCTATGGTTATCTAAGGAAATAACCATAAATCACTTTGGAGAAGAAATGTGAATTTATTTGCCACGGTGTTCTAGGTCCTTCCTCATGAACAACCAGTCTCTCCTTCAGTTCATAAGTTCTAGGTCCAAGAACAGTAAGAGTGATTTTACGTGCTTTGGATATACACCCAGAAATGAGATTGCTGGATTATATGGTAGTTCTATTTTTGATTTTTTGAGGAACCTCTGTACTGTTTTTGATAGTGGCTGGACCAATGAACATTCCCACCAACAGTACACAAGGGGTCTTTTTTCTCTGCAGCGTCACCAACACTTCTTATTTCTTGTCTTCTCAGAGTTCTTCTTCCCCATCAAGGCCCTGGCTTTAGCGCTGGAGATTTGCCTAGGCTGAAAGTTCAGCTTTCTTTCAAGTTCTGCCACTCAAAGCTAAGCCTTGTATCTGGTCTTCAGCTCTGGCTGCCCTCTGCCTGCAGAAGACGAGAGTCTCTTTAAATGCTGCTAAAGAAGCCTCTGATTCTCACACATTGCTTGCTTAGCAACAGTCACCCAATTCCACAGTCCTTATAAATACTAATTTTTCCCATACCTCTCAGACATCAGAGACTGCACCAGCGAGTGCGTCCTCTTTTGCCTGCATCCTTTCCTGTTTCACCAGGAGTAATCTGCCACAGCATATCAGGAGCAATCAATATTCCACTTCCAGCTGGCAGTGAGATGGGTCTCATTGCTCTCCTGCCATCAAATGATTTTCCTTCAGAATCCCATCTTTGGAGCATGCTTCCTAGAAGCAGCGGCTGAAGCAGGAAACTTGGTACAGATGAATTTTTTTGAGGACGTACTCTTAAAAGAAGGGGAATGATAGAAGCAGGGTACAAGGCAGGAGAGAGAAGTTAGCTAAGGATAGGGTGTCACCTGGAGACTAGCTTCAGCCTGATCTCGTGGGAAACTGGAACATGAATTATACCACTGGGTTATCCAACC